GACACGGGCGCAACAAGAGCGTCCTGATGGAGCGACTCAAGAAGGTGAGGGGGCTCGGGGCACGGGGGTGGCGCAGGAGGTCGGGGTGCGTCCCCGAGTGGACCTGTCACCGCGACCTCTGGACCCGGGCGTCTGCGGCCCGCCCCCCTCTTGGCGGACCCCCCGGGCTGAGCTGTCCCGGACGAGGGGGCCTGGCTGTGTGACCTTGGCCCGTGATCGTCCCTCTCTGTGCCTTGTTTCCTACCAGGTCATCGCCTCAAGTGCGCTGGCAGCCTGCCTGCCTTAGACGCTAGGCTGGCCCCTGACTCCTCCCAGGCCCGAGTTTTAGGTTGGGCGCTGTGACCTTGTACAAGTGCCCGTGTCTCTGAGCCTCAGTTTCCCTCCCTGGAGAACAGATGACTGAAGAACCTTTGAGATCTTGCAGGAAAGGGAGCCTTGCTTGTACCTGTCCCAGAGCCTTGGCACTTACCATACCAGACGCCAGACTGCTCTTCTCGCAGGTGGCCTGGCCGACCCCCTGTCCTTTGGATCTGTTTGAGATGTCACTTTAAGTAACGCGCCGCTCCCCCGCCCCCATTTTCTCCTGTCATCCTCTGTTTATTCCCCTCAACACCACACATAACACAAACTTGAGAATGGAGGATTGTCGTGTCTCCAACCAGAACAAGCTTCTTAAGGGGGGCGGGGGGACGGGATCTGTGAATTTACTGTGAGCCCCAGCTTTGTGCCAGGCAGGAGGGAAGCACCGAGGTACCTTCCCCAACCCGATCTGTCTGTCCTCCCTCCCCCGCTCCCCCAGGCCAAAGATGGCTTGGTGGACCACTGCTCAGAGCCCATTGTCCATGGAGACCAAGTACAAGCCTCTTGTTATTATTTGTTATATTAACTTAAACTAGAAGGTTGGGCAGTTTCAAGGTTAGGGGCCAATTTGGAACTGGCCATTGACCCTGATTCTGAACACCCTTTCACACACCCCTTTTTTTGGGTGGGGGGAGGGGGTGGTGTCGTGTGGCATGGGTGCAGAGAGAACCAAGTTGTGCTGGGTTCATCCTGTGTCTTGTGGGCTTGAAGCCCAGGTAAGCAGAACCAGACTTGCTTTTTTCAAGGAAGAGTTAGAAGTTGTTATTTAAAAACAACAATGTGTGCCGTGCAGCTCTTGACAATGTAAAATCCATCTCTTCCTGACAGGCAGTTAAAGAAGAAGGGCAGGATCCTGATGAAATTGGCATCACATTAGAAGCCACGAACAGGAAGACGGCAAAGAGATGTGTTAAAGGTATCGACCTGTACTTCCTGCTGCTAGAGGTCCGAGTGTTTGACAACCCACTTACTTAGAGACCTGGTTTTTTAGCACTGTTTCTGCCCTCCGGGCCAGGAGGAGAATGTCTTCAGCTGTCATTGTTCTTCATCTCCTAGTTAGGCCTGCTCTTCACCAGCTAACAAGCGACTGTCAGGGTGCTGGAGGAGGATACCAAGTAAAATTAAAATACATGCTAAAAACATCTCAGTTCTTGCCATTGGTGTTAAAAAAGAACTAGAGTAAGACACTCTAAAAGCTGCCCTGACTGGTTTGAGCACCTGCTTGGCTTCCTTCCTGGTTTAAAAAAAGAGGACTTAAATCAACGAAAATGACAACAACCCAAGACCAAATAGAACTCAGCTTCTCTATGGTCCAAAATAGATTGTCAGAGTATTTGTATCCAGCCTATTTTTACTAGCGTGATTTTTTAAAAAGATATAATTCAAATTCTATAGAATTCACCTGAAGTGTACAATGCAGTGCTTATTCACAAGACTGTGCAGTCATCACCAGTGTCTAATTCTAGGTATTTTCATGACCTCCGTGCCCACTAGCAGTCACTCCCCATTTTCCCAGCCCTCAGCCCGTGGCACTAGTAGACTTTGTCTCTGTAGATTGCCTATTCTAGACATTTCATATAAATAGAATCATACAGTCTGTGGCCTTTTCTGCCTGCCTTCTTTCACTGAGCATTATGTTTTCAAGGTATATTTATGGCATGCCCCAACATTAATTCCTTGATGGATAATACCTGTTACTTTTTGGAAGGACTTAATTTCAGAAAACTTTGAAACCTTACTCCCCTTATTGTAGGGAGGAATTACTTATTGGATTAAAGTGATCAAGAGGAATTAACCAAATGTCCTCATTATTAGGTTTTACAGTGATAAGGACAATATAATTCAGGTAGTAGAAGACAGTTTAGAAAGTCAAAAGAAATTAATTTGCAGCATTTTCAACAATTTCAGTTTCCTTTTTAAGCAGATTTTCCTGGCAGGAAAACTTTTCTATAACGTATCTAACTTTTAAAACTTGTATGGTATAAGTGTTTTGAAAGGTTAAATTTTTTAGTTAGGTTTCATAAAGAGCTACATTATGTTTAATTTTAAAACATTGATATATTTTTTTTGCTATTGTATTGATCCATACTTCACTATGAACACGGACTGTCCAAATGAATACAGACTATGAGAGACTGATCTACAGCAGGAAACATACAATTACCTCTGTCTTTTTAAAAAAATATATTTTCATTGATTTCAGAGAGGAAGGAAGGGAGAGAGAGATAGAAACATCAATGATGAGAGAGAATCATTAATCGGCTGCTTCCTGCATGCCCCCTACTGGGGATCAAGCCCTAAACCCAGGCTAGTGGTGTGACCGTGACTGGGAATTGGACCATGAACCCTTGGTTCATAGGTCTCACTGAGTCATACCAGCCAGGCAACAACTATGGTCTGAAAGCCTGTTTTACGATAGCTATGAAACAACTTAAGTTAGTTTAAAAGTTTTTAATGTAGATGCTCATTTAAAACTGTTGAGGTTTAAGGTTTATGAATCCAAATGTTCTTGTCTCCTAACGGGGATCTTTACATCATTAGACAAACTGAACCTTAGCTAGGTCTTTTAAAAACCTATCTGAATGTCTGGATTAAAGCTTATGTCAAATCAAAACTACATGGAATTAGCATTTTGCCTGGAAAGCTTTGGTAATAGTTCATTCATATAGAGAGAATGCTTATACCAACACTAGAGGCCCAGTGCATGAAATTCGTGTATGGGTAGGGTCCCTAGGCATGGCGGGCGATCAGGGCTGATCAGGGCCTTCCTTCATTCTGTGCCACCCCCTGATGGTTCTTGCACGTCATAGCGAGCGGTCAAACTCCCAAGGGGTAATTTGCACATTAGCCTTTTATTATATAGGGTAGCTCTAGCAATGGTCCCTTCCTTGTTTTCAGAAGCAACGCTTAGAGAAGGAACAGGTAGGTGGTCTGAGTCCAGGGACAGAGGATAGCACCTATAGGTTGTTGGACTAGCATATCCTTTGGTCAAACCCACATATGTTTGGGTTCTTGGTTAGTGATTTGAAGTATTTCATCATCATGGTGTCCTAGTTGAAATTAGGTCCTCAATATTACATAAAAGTGATCAGGAAGAATTAACCAATTGTTTTCCAGAGTCTGTGCAAGAGTGGGACTAATTCTGGGAAGTCAAGAGTGACTGTTGCCTTTTAAAAGTAAAGAGTAGCTAAAATTGTGGAAGATGTCTGGATGTGTTTTGAAAGATTAAATTTTGGAATTAGGTTTTATGTGAGAAACTAAAATTTGATTTTCTAGTTTCTGTCCTGTTGTCCCCCACAACCCCTGTTTCAGCTTTTAGTCAGGCCCTTGAGATTGGGGTACAGCCTATCTGCTCAGTATTTGTCATTCCCACTCTTATTTAGGGCACTTTTTGGTGAAGATTTAGGGTGTGCATTTTTCTTGTTTACATCCTGTCTGTGTATTGCAGGATACTATTTAGAGGCCTAGAAATTGGTTGCAACTGCCAAACATTTTTAGACAGTGTATTTCAAAGGGTATGCTGGGCTTAGATATAATGGGAAGTGGTACAGCTGAGTTTTTGAGTCCCAGCTTTGGAACTGAACCAAATTCTTATGTGTCAAATGCAGATAATAAACCTGCTAGCGTTGTGGGGAGTATTAAATGATAAGATGTGGAGAGTATGGTATCTGACATATAAAACTACATTTCTTGAGTGGTTACTGATGATAATGATAAATGAAATACTTAAGGTGTAAACATTTTAGTTTGAATCTTTAGTCAGTTTCTGTCCTGGCTAGGGCCTCAGTTGGTGGGAGCATCATCCCATACACCAGTGGTTCTCAATCTGGGGGTCGAAAGACCCTTTCACAGGGGTCGCTTAAGACCATGGGAAAACATACATAATTACGCTAGAGGCCTGTTGCACGAAAAGATTAGTGCAATAGGCTTTCCCTTCCCCTTGCTGCTGGCACCCGGACCCAGGCCTTTGCTCCGGCCGGAGCTGCCTTCAAGCCTTCGCTGCCCCACCCGGCCGCCCCGGGTCGGGTCGCACACAGGATGCCCGTTGCCCCAGGTCGCAGATAGCAGGCCTGGATGGCGGCAGGGCGGGTGGCGGGATGGTGCTGTCCCACCCTGCCTGCAATATGCAAATTAGCCGCCATCTTTGTTGGTGGTTAATTTGCATATTTTGCTGATTAGCCAATGGG